GTTACGCCAACTTCAAAAGTGGTAACAAGAATGGCGTTACAAATTACAGGCCTATTACGAAATTGACGACAATTGCCAAGGTATTTGAGTGCATAATTAAAGAAAAAATGTTTTTTTTCAGTTTCTAGTCATCCCGAATCAACATGGGTTTTTAAGGGAGATCTACAGTATCTAATTTGACCATTTTTTCTGATGACTACCTAGCAAGTTTTGAAGCAGGCCTCCAAGTAGATAGCATTTACACCGACTTTGCCAAGGCTTTTCATAGGGTTTCGCACAAAATTTTCCTTAGTAAATTAAACTTTCTAGAATTTCACGCTACTTTTCTAAAATGGATAGAATCCTACTTATCTGGTAGGAGTTATTCAGTCGCACTTGACAACAATACTTCTTGCCCATATCTTGCAACGTCAGGAGTTCCGCAAGGTAGTATTCTTGGGCCGCTCTTGTTTACCATTTTTATAAATGATATAAGCTCTTGCCTTTTATATTCGAAATTTCTACTTTATGCTGACGACCTAAAGATTTACTCTGCCGTGTCTATTTGAACATTGACAAATGCATTCATGTAGCTTTTTCTAAAAAGCTCAATTGCTTAACAACGGCTTACCATATTTCAGGTTCTAATTTGAAGTCTTTGGATCAAATCAAAGACAGGAATTTTCTTTGACTATAAGCTTACGTTCGCTAGTCATATAAATTTTTGAGTTGCAAAGGGTTATGCGATGCTAGCATTTGTTCGTCGTAATAGTTCAGATTTTTCAGGCCCTTACACCCTCAAAAAACTGTATATTGCATTTGTTAAGTCCCGTTTGGAATATGCATCTTTCATCTGGCGGCCTTTGCAAATAACGCATTTAAATAGGATCGAGCGTATACAGAAAGTATTTATAAAATTTGCATTGCATTCGCTAAATTTTGATGAACCTTTGCCTTCATACAATTCCCGTTGTCTTCTATCAAACCTACACTTGCTACAGCACAAAAGAAAATTTTTGGTTTGCTCATTTGTTTTAAATGTCCTAACAGGTTCGATTGATTGTGCTGAGATTTTGTATAGAACTAGAATTATAGAATAGATACTAGTTTTATAGCATAGTCAGTAAGAATAATTTGTTGTATTCCTGGACTGTTTGAATAAATGAAATGAAATGAAAGATATAACCGATTTTCGATGGTTTGTCATGATTTATAATCGATTAATCGACTCATTTGTTGCCATCTCTACATATCCATATATAATTTCATGGTTCATGATATAATGTATATTAAATATAAGTGCAAAAAACTCTTACCAGTGGGGGCAAATTTTGTGGTGGTCGCCTTTCCGGATATTTATGTTTGTTTTGTGCACCACCCATTGATGAATCACGTATGGGTGGTTTTATAATTGGTTCCATAATATTACTAACATGATCACGTGGATAATTATACTCCTTGTCGGGAGAAATTGTTTCCTCAGGAATGGATTCTTCATCAGTCGACGAATCTAAACAACAATGTGTACAGAAAAGTAATAAAATTAATTCGTATATGTTGTATTTCCTCGGGCATTTAAAAACCCGCTCACCAATATCATCATTATTGCGATCCGGACTTCGATTGAGCACAGAACTTCTCTTCGATGGCATTGGTAAACTGGGCTTCGGACGAGTTTTCAGTGCTGCAAGCGCTTGTTGTACAGCTTCTTGTCGCACTTCTAAACACACACACACACACACACATATATATATATATATTTTATTAATCAAAAGTATATCAGCTTTTATTTCATGCTTCCATACTATTTAACCAAATGCAGAATATGTAAATACTTACCGGAATGATAACGTTTTTCATTATGTGTAATTTTCCGTTGTGTACGTCGTTGTCTGCTATGTTGATGACTTGACTCGGATCTTTCTATATGTCCACCACTTCCACTGCCACCACCACCACCTCCACCGCCACCACTACCACCCCCACTCACTGAATGATCTGATTTTTTTGATGCATTGGAATGTCTTTGATGAGATGATGGCAGTGATGGGACTTCAGTTACGTAACTGTATCCCTCACTCGATACTAAGGCTCCGTCTTTCACAGTCTTTGGGTTTTGCGGTTGTTGTGGCGTTTTAATATTATAATAAGGAGGAATGGGTTTATCGCACTTGTCCAATTTTGAGTCATTGCCTATTGAGTAAGAATGCGAACAATATAGCAATTGGTATGATTTGAATAAATCAAGCGGGTTTTCTTTTGTATATTCTTTTTAATTCTATTAGAAAAATAGACTTATTCAACATTCACTTCGGATAAATAATGGCTATTTCTTATTTTGGAAATATTTTATCTAATTTATTGGTAGGTAGGTGCTCTATAAGCATGTCTTTTATATTATCCAACGAGATAGTTGATTGGTCATTTAACGGTGATCTAATCCTGACCTAAGTCGTGAGTCACTTGCATGTAAAATTAATACACACAATTACTTAAAAATATGTACTTTTATTCAGCGCTTTAACTCGCCATAAATTATAATAAACTGCCATGGAATCCAGTCAAGATCGATCGCCTTTTATTACTAAAATTAGAACCCTGAAATCAATCTGTTGCGAATTTGCTATAGGGCTAAAAACTGTTGCAAGCTAAGAATATATACTCAACAAACAATCTTTGATTGCTATAGCAATTTGAAACACGGGTTTGAAGCGTAAACAACCATTAAAGTAACATTTAATTAAACTATTTATGTATATGTACATATACAAAAAAAAAACACATAAAGGAATAGTAGAAGTGTTCAATACGGTATTAGAGATTATACAGTGACTCATACATACTTAAATATGCAAAACAAAAGCAACAAAAAGAGAAAACAAATTCTGTTAATTACTTCAACACTTCAAGCTATTGCTGTACATTATTAGGAAATAGTCTCACCTTCGGTGGTCGGTATTAAAAATGGTTGTAGCAATTTTGCTCTCTTCTTTTCGTATCCCTTCTGTGTTATGTCGCCTGAAAAAGTAAGTATGTAAAAACTTATAAAGATAATGTACATATGTATACCAAAAGATATAACGTATATGTAACAAAAGCCTTAACGCCGGTTCTAATATGAAGGAGTAAAAAATAAATCAATTGCCTGGCATAATCTCGACAATGCTTATGAACATACATATGTACACATGCACATACATATGTATGTAGTTACTTGTATCACATTGTGCTAGCATTATGCATATACTAGTAGCATATACAGATATATATACTTGAGGGCAATATAGGTACATATGGATATACAAAGGAGACTTGATTAACATGTAACGTATATCAGACAAAAGAACAATTGACTTTACTCCTAGTAAGGCGCATACGTACTACGGGTATAATACGGTATTTTCTAAAGCTAAATATATTTTCATATGTTCCGATCATCATGACACCAACAACCAACCTTCAGATAATTCCAAATCCAGCTCCGCTAACTTTTCTCGTACATCAGCAGGAAGTGCTGCTAAATTTTCCATCAAATTCGCAGACATTTCTGCAATATATGTATTTTTTTGCTTTTATTTTACTTTGTACCTTTTTGCAGTATTGTCGTATCCCACCCTTAAAAATACAGGATGTAGTCCTGTCGAGAAATTTTTTTCTTTCCTTTTATTCACTAAATAGCGATAATTCGTCAAAAACCACTTGGACCATAATCACGAAGGAATGCACATTTGCTAACCTCAGCACTATACTTTTGGTATTAATTTTACTTTTTTGCTGCCATACAGACACAAAACACAAACTCTGTAGAAATTCTTGTCAGCTTTAAATCCTAGGTACATACAATATCATTCATATCCACACAAATACTCGTAGACGGAGCAGTTGGGTTAGTGGCTGCCCAACCCCGATGATTCAACTCGACACAGAAAACATATCCAGTAATTTTTTCAAAAATGCCTATTGTTCATCGTTGATTAACACAACTCTTTATGGTTAAATGCTCCACTTTCATTTATTACTTCGTAATAGTGTACTATATTAAATTTTATATAAAAGGAATTAATCGAAGTTGCACGAACTTCGTCAATTTGACACAAAACAAATTGCCAATGTTGCCACTATTTCCTTTTTAGGAAATACATATGGGCACAGAGTTGTTAAACCTTTTTATATCGTAAAAATTTTGCAATATTTGGTCAACATGATCCAACTACACAAGATCTGACAAGTTGAAGCAAAAGAAAAAAAAATTTTCTGGCTGACGTTTGTAATTTCGGCGCCATGTTATTTTCTTTGAAAAGTAAACAAAGAATATGAAGACGAAGCATAAGGAAAAAATGCAGGCAATTTTGCAGAACATGTTTGTGCTAATCAATTTATTATTTTGTACGTGTTTTTGCAACCAATCACCGCGCACTTCATTTTAATTACATTTGCACAAAAAATTTATTGAAAATCGCTTAAAAGTCGCTGAAATAAACCACCGACAAATACACATAAAGAAAGAAGCAAAACAGAAATAAAACCTTCCAAAATACGAACGTCACACACTTTTTTCTCAATTACTATTACAAATGGCTGCTTCTCAACCGGTCAGATCTGTTCTAATTGGTTCATGTTGTGTCAAGGCGTATTCATATAATACCATGTTCTGACCGACAACGAAAACACTTTGAAAACGAGTTTTGGGATTGTGGACTGAAGGCTGTTCACACCGGCTGTTAGCGTTTTCGTTGACATTTCTTACATCTTTTGATTACAGATTTGCTACACAAAAACAGAACCAAAATACTCTTCCTTCAATTTCTTTTCATTTACAACCTCTTCCTTTCATTCTAATTTTACTTAAGCCAACCAATTAACAATAAATCCGAAATGGCGTATTAAAGATGATCAAATATGACTTCCACTTCGATAAATAATTGAAAAAAACTAGTGCAGACACCGTTTGGACTGAGTGGAACGTGAGTTTTCAAGTAGTTTTCAGCGAAAACTGGTAGATTTTACATGGACGAAAATACAAGTTTTAGATCGAAAACCAGTTTTAGCAACGAAAACATGTTTTCGATGTCGGTCAGAACATGGTATTAGATGGTGTTGCTGAACAGCTGACTTGATTCGCCTCGGTAGACATATGTCAAAATTCATATTTCGCTTAAGTGAGTGAGAGATAATGTAAGAGTGTTTGCAGTTTCCTACCCTATTTGGAACAAGTGCAGAATAAGGTCAGTTTTTCCAAAATTCCATCGTTGACCATCCATAGAACCTACAATATAAGTTTGCACCGAAAAATTTGTATACCATTAGAATCAGAAAAAAACGACGGACCACGCGCACTTTTTCGTTTTATGTTTCTAGCTTATTCTGCACTCATGCGTATAAGCGCACAGAATAGGACCCGTTTTTCGAAAATTCGTGCTTCGCCCGTCGGTAGCCCAGAAAACATAAGTTTGAGCAAAAAAAAATAATGTTTTACCATTAAAGTCGCAAAAAAGGGTGGACCACGCCCATTTCTTTGCTTTTTTCTAAAACCAAACATATAAACATATAAAGGTACATATAAAAAAGCAATATTGTTTTCCCTCAAAATTTCACCAGAGCAGAGATCTTTTGATATAATAATTCGTTATAGTAATACATTTGTCGATATTTATATATGATATATTAAAACAAAATTCCTAAACTTATTAAAAGTTCAGTAATAACGAAGATATTGGTCAAAATAAAAAGCTCACGCTCACGCTCGCACTGAACTGTATATCAGGCTTTAGTCCTGTCTTTGGTAACATCTACTATATATGCACTCTAAGGGCTCTGTCACACGGTCAGTAATTATCACGATATTTGGATCGCGATCCATATTGATGGATTGATGGATCGCGCACGAATGCTACATGGTCAATATTTATCGCGTCAGTATTCGCATAATTTTTGTGCTGAACGCTTATTATGACGCAAGAAAATATTTTTATTTTCTACGTATAATTTACAGATAATGCATTCCACAATTATTTTGAAATTTCCAATGTTAATTAAAATTTTTTCAATTTCACTTGAAAGGTTTTAAGCACCGAGAAGGAAGGCAAAACGAATACCCTTTCGATGTTCGCATTATGAGAGTAAAAGATGTACTGACGAATTGTATGGATCGCGTTTGGAAAGTGCTACACGTTCAATATTTATTGACGGTATTGCGATCCGCGATCTAGATTTCAAAATTTTTAGAAATTTTGCGATATGGATCATGATCCATCAATACTGCATGCTACACCGTCAATAAATATCGCGATACTTGGATCACGTCAATGAATACTGACCGTGTGACAGTGCCCTAAGAGTACACATGCCCTAAAAGGATACATATACATATGGGCTTTCGTTTCAAGCATAACTTTGTTGATTATATTCGATACTCAGAAGGAAACGTTAAGCTTCATATATATATACCACGTTTATACCTACCACGAAAATACAACCGTACACATACAAATTCGTTTTTGACTACACTGGCCTATGAAGATCTGAGTGTCCGGCCATTATCAACTCTACCATCAAAAAAAAAAATTTCGACTGCGAAAATCGCTGAATGTAAATATGTCGTTTTACAAAACCCAGTGATTGCCTTTGAAAAAAGTAAGTGTGGACCTCACGTTAGCTTAACAGACGGAACCACTACAAATCGGGTTGCCGTTATACAAACATTATTAAAATCTGACATTGTACGGTAATTTAAATTAAATAGGTATAAACGTGTTATATTACAATGCAGAATATTCTTATAAAATGCTTGTAAATATGCAGTTATATAAGTTATTCTAAAAATATACGTTTGTTTATTGTTTCTCAAAGTTGCATATCTATGTAGTAGTATTTTCAACTCACACATACTCATTAAAGAAAACGACGTAAGTTAAATACCGTTTTTTACATATATAGGGAACACTTTGATGCTTAAATTGTAATAAAATTTTTGTATGAAGCACATTTTAACACGTTAATTTAATGGGTGCTTTTAGAAAAAAATTTCAATATTGAGTTATCCGCAGTACATACCCTGCAAACCATTTTTTCAGAGTATTCTGCATTGTAAAGAAATTTTAAAGAATTCGTTAAGATTTAATTCGATTTTTTGCCGAATTTTCTAAAATGAAATAAATTACGCACACTTCCATTCTTTTACGAAATTTCGGAAGAAAATCTATGAAGCAACGGAAATAATGGTGCTCTGTGAAGAATATTTTTCAGAATTTTTCCAGAATTTTCTTTATTTTTCGTACAGAGATTTCTTTACGAGTTCGTGTCAACCACTTCATATAATTTTCTTTGAAAATTCGTAAAAAACCGTTACAGAAATGAGATACTCCTAACGATTTCCTTAAGATTTTGGGGAACTTTGATTTGCAGGGTAGCTAGTCGTATGCATTTTGGAAGTTACCCTGCAAGAACAGTGAGTATCATTTGACAAATCATTTGAGTGGCAAGACTGATAGAGATTTCTGTCACTGGCTACCTACAAGTCTCTATAAAAATCTAAAGGGCAGTGTGAAAAATCTGATGTAAACATTTGTGTACATGTGATCTTCCGTCTTCGTCCAACTTATGGCCTTATTGAAGAATGGTCTGTTTTTTAACCAACGCAAAATTTGCAAATCTGTTAGTAAGATAAATGAGAATGTGTTAGTTTCCATCACACAATTCTTGTAGAGTACCCTTAACACATATGCAAATTTTGCGTTGGTTAAAAATAGACCATAAAATAAGGCCATAAGTTGGAGGAAGACGGAAGAATTTGTACACAAATGCTTATATCAGATTTTTCACACTGCCCTTTAGAATTTTATAGAAACTTGTAGGTAGCCAGTGACTGAAATCTCTATCAGTCTTGCCACTCAAATAATTTGTCAAATGATAGTCCCTGTTCTTGTAGGGTATTTAGGGTTGCTCATAACTTCCATTTCCACGGGAAATGAAATAGGCATCCATTGAATTTGGGTTGCATTTTATGTATCCATTTTCACTGGAAGCGGATGGAAGGTAGGAAAATTTTTGATACGTTAACCCTGTATGTGTACACAGTACACAGCGCAGCACAGTGTATTTATACTGGTTTAGCTTCGAGTCAAGTCGATCAGAGTGGTTTATTGAAGTTGTTTCTCTTTTCTCTTTCAGTTTTGTTTGTGATTTCGTCGGGGAAGGTGTGTGTGGTCGTGCCGATTTTACATTTTGTGGCTTTAAGTGAAGTAGTACATAAGGATTTTTTTAGCTGTCTGCATATATATACTTGTTTATTCCATTGTGTGTACACTTAGTAGAGTGCTTGCTGTAACGTTCGTTGAAAAAGTGGAAAGCCATTCCTTATCCCAGATAAAAATTGGGAGTTTCTTGTAGTGAAACTAAAAATTTTTTTGGAATTTTTTAAAATAAATTAAAAATTCACTCAAAAAAACTTAGTAGAAAAACTAATATTACGAAAACACCTTTATACAAAAATTAAATCAAATAAATAATACAAAGTAAATAAAAAAAAATAGATAAAAAATGGCATCCGAGGTAAGTCAGACACCAGTTACCGAAAATAAGGTTGCTGAAGAGGCGGCGGTGACCAAGCCAGAAACAACAGCTACAGAAACAGTAGCAGCCAAGGAGAATAACGCTGAAAGCAATGGTGCCGATACAGCGAACAACGCACAGGAGAAAGGCGACGACACAAAGGCGTCGGCCGGTGATGATACAAAGAAAGATGGAGACAATGTTACTACTGTAACAGTAGCTAACAGCAAAACCGAACCAGCACCAAAGTTCAATGTGCATAAAACGAACTTTGAGAAGGATGTAATATATCTCTATCAGTTTTCCCGCACTCCTTTGCTGCCGTCGTTATCACCATATTGTCTAAAAGTTGAAACCTGGCTGCGTCTGGCAGGTCTCAAATACGAGGTAAGAAAAATAAGTCCATGATACATCTATTATAGATACAAACAGAAACATTTAAATCCATGCATATATTACATACATACATATGTATGTATGTACACACGTATAACTTTGTAGGAGCAAAATCCTCATTAAAAAATGGAAAAACCCACATATGGGGCTAGACACTGAAATACAG